TGTCGTATAAAAACCAGCTGATGTATTTATTTTGATCTACGTACGCATTACCCTACCATACCGAAGTGTCGGTTACAACTGGTATGATAGTTTTATAAAAACAAAACTGAACCGAACGGTAATTAAATGCTGCTCATTCGAAAGATGAGGCATGAAAAGGAATATAATACTGAACACTGTGAAAAAAACGGTTTAAAAAGAGACCTTGGAAAGTTTAAAACCTTTGACAACTGAAACAGTAGGCTTTTTATTAAGTTCTTAACGGGTGGATGGAATGATCTTAACCGACTGGTCAACGTGGTCCGAACAAGATAAAGATATCAGTCGAAAACAACAGGAAAGGAGTCAAACAAATTAAATTTTTTCCTAAAAAACGAAAAGGGTACCGCATGACAGTTATCTTTAGCCGAAATATCCCGTGGAACCGTTCGGGAATGGTGGGCTAGGTTAAATAGTCATAACGTCCATGCCGTAAAAGTTTGTCTTAAGGAATGTACTTATTAGCAAAGTTGTGGGCAAGGATTGATCGTGCCACTCCACTAATTGGCAAAAATCTATTTTACGTCACTACTAAAGAACACAAGCGATAGGTAGGCGTATGATAGGAATAGTGGCAAGGGGTGGGGCAGCTCAAAGGACGGAAATGGGCGGTAACGCGTTGGCAATGAAAAGAAATGCAAATGCCCAAGGTCATCGTTCAATTGGTTCTTTTAGCACTGAATTAGACCGTATTAGGCACCTATCTACATGCCAACCTAACCCTAGCCCAAACTCTACCCGTTGTGTTTCTTTCCGAGTGAATTGAAGGATTTCAGTTCAGTATAGGATACTGCTTAAGATTTCAGGATAACCTGATTGTTTGCGACAGAAAGAAGATGCAGAAAACTGCGGCTCACCAAACGTCAGCATCCTCATAAACGACCTCAAAAATTCTACCAGCTAGAGTAAACTTAAGAAGGCCAGTAAACTAGAGGCAGAAGGAGGAGGTGAGATCGCTGGAAAAAGAAGTTTATTTGCCTGACGTTTCGGATTCTGGCTCGAACCTTTCATTTTATGCTCACCTTAAAAGTGCACAAAGAGGACACACCTATCTCTCAAAGGAACTCCATCATGCGGACTGGCAAATTGGCTGTTTCGATGACTCAAATTTTTGACCACGGATCCTGAGACCACAGTTAGGTCGCCAGCACAATTCTTGGAGACACTTAAAAGGGTAGGCCTTTTGCCAAGATGTTATAGTACCTCTTGATGCAACACCCCTTTTTACTTCTTTTGCACAGGAGCTTGCAGACGAGGCCATCGGATTACTCCTACGAGACAAATATGATGAAACAGAGAATAACCTCAGACACGCCCAAATCCGCGAACTGCTGAAGTTCTGCTTCAAGACGTACCTCACAATCAACGAACAATCTACGAGCAAGTGAAGGGCATGCCTATGGGTTCGCCAATTTCCGGACTCATAGCCGAGACGGTTTTGCAGAGACTGGAGTCGCTGGTTTTCCGACACCACAGACCGAAATTGTGGGCCCGGTATGTGGATGACGCCTTTGTTGTTATCGAGTGAGACCAAGTGCTGGCATTCAAGGAACGTGTGAATTTCACCTTCCCGGACATTTAATTTATGATGGGGGAAGAAGAAAACAACCAGCTAGCCTTCCTGGGTGTCCTCGTTTGCAGCAAAGACTGTGGTGGCCTAAAAACTAAGGTGTTCAGGAAAGCAACCAAAACGATGCAAGTCCTGAGGCTCAACAGCAGCCACTTGACCAGGCACCAACGCAGTTGCGTAGGAGCGCTATACCGGCGCGTTGAGACGTATTGCAGTCAAATGGAAGTTGCTGAAGTACAATAT